AAAATGCAGTTAATATGAGTATAAGCAAGCTTAGAATCTTATGCACAAATTAAATCTCTCTTGTTTATCAGAATCTATTTCTCTCTTTCTCTCTCCTTCTCTCTCCTTCATTGTCTCTCTCATGTATTTGACAGTTTCTCAGTTCTACCCACTATCCTGAGAGAAGGATCATCATAACAAACCCAAATTCATGGGATCCCTGAGGACATATCTGAGGACTAATATTGATTTTTCATATTTCATCCAGTAACATTTTTGCCCTCTATAGCACAGACACCAGTAAATCAAAGACAAAGCAAGAGGCCCTCTGAGGAGTTGTATACCAGAGAGTTTTCATTCTTTATGCTTTGCCACATGCTGCTTGTGTGTTTTCAATGTATAAACTGAATTCTGTGTTATTGCTCATTAATATTTTTGGATTTTTTCCACAACTTCCTTTTAACATTTTTTTCTGATTTAAAAAATTCTATTTTGCTGGCATTTCTTCCTTGACATTTAGTACTAAGAATTTCTGGTGAGCAATTCCCATTCAGAATTCCCACATTGTTAGGAAACTTCTATAAAACACAAATATTTCCACAAATCCAAAAGACACTGTCCTGTGCCTTTAAAATCCCTTATATTACATTTGGAATTCTCAAAAGATTTACAGATTTCTATTAGTCCCCTGAAAATTCTACTATAAACATGAAATATAATATGAAAATTTATTTTTGGAACATAAATGAAATGAAAATTATTTTAAAACTTGAAAATTCTATCTATAATAACCTCCAAAAATTTTAACTAACTATATATATTCTTCAGTTGACTATTACAAAAACATTAAGAAAGCTGGTTAATATTGATCTCATGGTGTTTATAGTAGTATGTGTTCACATAGAATTGAAACAAGTCAGAACAAATGGATGTAGCTTGCTGCTCCTCGACAACATCTATCATGTTGAGCCATATGCACTTTCATTGCATACAGTTCTCTAAATAGCATTTATGGTCCGATTCCACTTTGTCTATCAGGCAACTACTTTGCAAACAAAACAACAGTATTGGCATTTGATAACTGAATGGCTCCTTGACATTCATCTTCATCTTCTGTGTCAATAGTATAAGATTAATTCAAATTACTATGGTTCATTTAAAAGATCAGACTGAAAACCCTGGGCTGGGAAGATAGTTCAATGGGTAAGCACTTACTGTGCAAGTGTAAGGACTAGAATTTGGATCCCTATCACCTACATAAATGCTATGTGGGCATGACAACCAGTCCATTATCATAAAACTTGGGAGATAAGAGCTCCAGGCAAATTGACTAGAGTAGGCAAACCAGTGAGCCCTGGGTTCAAGTGAGAGACCCTATCTTTATACATAAAGTGGAGAGCCATTAAGGAAGACATCAGCATCAACCTTTGATTTCCACATACATGTGCACACAGGTACACTCATATCCACTTAAACATATGCTCACATGCATACAGACAAGTGAAAATTCTGGAAATTCACATACATGCTTAAAAAGTAACTTTGCTTTTCATTGGAAGCATTGTACTTGTATCTTTTAATATAATTTACACTTAGTAGCCAACTGTCTTTTATTATAAAAATGTATGTGTATACTTGTACTAAATATTTCAATTAAAATAGTTAAATCTTTGTCTTCTTCGTTGCTTGGAGTTTTTTGATTCTGGCAGGGATAAATGATACTTGTTAAAACTATAAATAATAATAAAAGATTAACTGACATCCCATTTTTGCTTTTTTCCTTTGGCACTTAAATACATTAAGTATTTACTTTAAAAGTATTACCTATATTTCCTTTCAGATTCTTCTCCAGCACTGGAACTTGACATTACTTTTTTTAACTTAAAGTATTTTATTAGCATTGCTTTCTTTAAGAAATAGCATGATTGCACTGAAAAACTTTGCATAGGTTGGAGAATTTGCAAAGTGAACAGCAAACTCACATAACAAAAGTGACACTTTACAGATTATTGTTGAAGCTTGGTGGTACAATTTTGTCAGTAAGTAATATTCAAAAATTGAAATAGACATAGAGAATTTTGAATTTACATTCTAACATTCAATTACATATTTTTACTTGAGAATTATATCAGTTCAGATATTACCATACTTTCTATTTATTTTTTAAACTTCCCAGATGTGATTTTAACTTTAGATGTTCAATTATGTGCTTTACATTTTCTCTAGGCTATAAGTGAAGTCATATTAGGACTATAGAAGAGTAACAGAAAAATATTGGAAAGCTCCTGGTGCCTGGTAATGGGAGAGGTCCAACATCAAGGCCTGGATGCCCTTGTTGTGGAGTCAAGAACACAGCTGAGCTGTGGTCCCATCCTGGGAGCTGAAACAGTGGCCCTCTCCTGTGAGCCAGAGTTGTAGTCCCCTCCTGTGAACTCGAGCCCAGAATCCTCCTGTGAGCCTAAGCTGTGATCCCCTCTGGTGAACCTGGAGCTGACATCCTCTCATGTCAGCCGAGAGCTATGGAACTAGACATTTCTTAAAGTACCCAGTTACTGCTTTAAGTTGGGTATTCATGTCTTATAACGGCAGGCATTTTCTTAGTAAAGGAAAAACAATATATACTTAAGACATAAGTTCCATCATGATATGAAAAAACCTTTTTATTCATCATTTTGGATAGTGTGCACACAATTATCCTAGCCTTATTTCCCTTACTGAATTTTTTTAAACAATATATGTGATTCTGTACTTGTGATATCTGCCTTATTAACTCTTTTTTTTAACATTTAAAAAATTTATTTTTATTTTATGTGTACGTGTTTATTGCCTGGATGTAGGTAAGTGCACCCGTGTCATGCAATGCCCACAGAGGTCAGAAGAGGCTGTCGGATCACCTGGGACTGGAGTTACAGACAAGTGTTAGCTTCCATGTGGGTCCTGGGATTTGAACCCGGGCCTTCTGCAAGAATAACCAGTGTTCTTAACCACTGAGCCATGTCTCCAACCCCCTTATTCACTCTTATATACACTTCCATTCAGTGTCTAGCCTTTCTCTTCAGAATAATAGTACATTTTATTAAGAATCAGCTGATGTCAATTTCCCAGGTCGCTTACAATGTCTCAAAGACTGCTGTGGACACTTTTGCCTGTGCTTATACATGACTGTATGAATATTTCAAAGAATGATTGCTCTCATTTCCCAGATATGCTGTCTCCCTATTTCTACAAGTTGTCTATAAACAAATATAAACTTACCCACCATATATTTGCAGATACACACAATGAGAAATATACATACATACATATATATGTATATATATACTTTATTTATGTGCATGTGTATGTGCCTGTGTGAGTTTATGTGCACACAGTGTGTACAGATGTGCATGGAGGCCAGAAAACGGTTTTGAATCACCAGAAACTGGAGTTACAGGTGGTTGTGAGCTGCTAGATGTCAGTGCTGGGAACTGAACTCAGGTCCTTTGAAAGTGCAGCAAGTACCATTAGCCACTGAGCCTTCTCTCCAGCTACAGGGAATTTTTTTCATTCCAGCTATTTAACAGAGTAAGATTAGCTAGTGCTCAGTAATTGTCTGTTGGCTCTTAATGTCCCTTCAGTTCTATGAATTGGAAATGACCAGATTATGGATTTCTAAAATTGTGCAGCACAATGTTATAACATATTATATTCTAATTCTACACAGGAAATAAGTTAACATTGTAACTTATTGCTAAATTTAACAGTTATGTAAAAGCAATGAGCTCAACCATTTATGTAACAAAATTTTACTTATATGGCATGGTGTATCTCTAGTTTGATTTTACTCTACAAGAACCTCTTCCGAACAATTTCAACTGCAAATAAGAAAAGTAAAAAACATCTATATTATTGAACTATTATCCAAAATACAACACTGAAAAACAGACTGATGAGAGACTTATGCAAATAAATACACTTATCTGTAAAAATCATAAATGAAAATATTATAAATCATTTGAATCTGAATATAAATGGATTCCTCATATAGCTTAAGGTGCATGGTGCTATATAGATGAAATTAAAATTAAATTCAGGATTAAAAAATAAAATTTTAAAATCAGCTGATCAAAATGACTACATTTTTGGAGATATATAGATATCCCTTCATTTTGAGCATATAATTAATTCAGCTAAGTATTAAATAAGTGTTAATTGACTAGGCATTTTTTACATGGCATTTGCCCAAGCTCATGGTATATATCAATGAACATGCATTTTGCACATATTAAAACTTTATTCAAGAACTTCATGAGAATATTACTAGCATCTGCCATCCTCATGCACCTAGAGTAAGTTTCTGAAATTCTGACATAGTACAATTTCATAACAGCATGAACTCATCAGGAAAGTAGTATTTAAATCATTTTAGTAACTATATATTATCCCCATGAAAGGCCAAAGCAGAAATATCATTCAATGTAACAATTTACGTAGCAAAATGATAATTGTTAAGATCTTTAATTATTTGATAAATGTGCTTGAAATTTGAGAGAAAAAAATTTTGAAAATCATATCAGTAGGAGTTACTTGCTTTATTTATTAATATGGAGTTATACTTGGAAAACATGGAAAGAACCAGGTCCCTTTCTACTGTAGAGCACATACGAATACAAGAGGTTTTATTTCATGTAACTTAAATCCATAAATGTATTGAATTTGTTTGAAGCTTAAGGGTTTAATAGTCTCTAATGAGTCATCTGAATTAGGCAAAGGAACTTAGAAGGCAATAATCAATAAGAGAAGAAAGTTTTCAATTCCAATTTACCTCAGGCACAGATGAAAGTTTTACAAGTGATATAGTTTCATGGTTGGGCATTTTCACAAGCCAAAGTGGAAGAAAATATTTTTGTCAGAAGCAGGTTATGAATAAATTGTATTTTCCTTTGATAAAGTCAAAGATATTATTTTGAAAATCCCAGCTCCATAACTTCAAAGTTACTATAGACTCCAATGCAATTAATTATTTCCATATTTTTTAATAGAGGCTCAAAGAACTGAAGCAAAGAGAATTCGCTCGAAATGTAGCATCTAAATCCAGGAAGGATGAAAGAAAACAGGAAAAGGCACTCCAACGTCTACACAAGCTGGCTGAGCTAAGAAAGGAAACTGCATGGTGAGTATGCATTGAAATGTTAACTTTACTTAAAATAGACCTAAAAAAGGCTGAGGAACTTAGAAATAAAGGGTACAAATCTATTTATTCTGGTACCAAGAAAAAGGCACATGTACATGTTTCCATGGCCTTTGAAGAGTAACTTCAATTTCATGAAAACACCTGTTTAATGCTCATTTCAATGAACTTCTAAAATTAGTGTAATTTCAGCTTATTGAACGTAAAATTTGCATCATGTTTATAGCTAAGCCATCTTAACTGAAGCTATACCATTCCTTTGTGAAATGCAAACCGTGTGCTTCAAGAAGAGAGTGAAGCATTGCCTTCTGACTCTCTTGTAAATGGAAGTTTTTGAGAATTTATGTTACTTTTCAGAAACTTTTCTTTGAAATTACCTTGAAAATTTTAAAAAGAGACCAGGAAGCTGCTGTACACTTCAGAGCAGTTCAAAATTAGTTTGGCTGTGAATAAACTGTAACTGAATTGTTAGAAGTTCATAGCTCTTCAACTTTGACCTGCTTCTCACAGTGAGCAGCTGTTAGATGTGAATAGTGTTATAATTCAGACCTTGCAGTCCCAGCCAGGGCAGTCTTATTAAAAGAAAATCACTCTGTAAAGTGCCCTTATTTCTCTCAACAAATAAAGTCTACCTTGCTACTGCATATAACAAAGATTTTATACCAAATATATTTTTATAGAATACTCTTTGGGATATACTGCTATATAAAAACATTTTTAGGAATTCAACATTTATTTTTGAACAAATTTAAAAACGAATGATTTTAGAACTCTATGTGGAACAGCTAGGAAAAAATGTATAACTCCTGCTCAGTTATACTACTGAGATATATTTACTATATGTGACTGGATGGAGAATCAATGCAAATTAATGCTTTATAGAATAATTGAATCTGCTTGATATAATGCTTTAAACAAGAATTTGCCGTGTAAAAGCTGTGATATTAAGAGAACTAGAATTCAAAAGGTATGAACAAGGTTTGGCGAGATGGATCATTGTTTAAGAACACTGGCTGCTGTTGTGGAGGACCCAGGTTCCCTTCCCAGTACCCACATGGCACCTAACAACTGTTAGGTTCCAGTTCTAGTGGATTTGATGCCATTTTCTGGCCTCCATGGACATTGCTCTTACATACATCAGCAAACACAACACTCATACAAAAATAAAAAATACAAAAATCAAAGTAAAATTAGAAAAAGATATGAACAATCCCTCCAGTACTTACCTTAATTAATGCTCCCAATAGAGCATATTTCACATTATTCACACATATTCACATACAGGCAACTTTCCCACTAATTTTATACAGCTAAAGAGCAGTTCTCTTTCTTCAAAGAAGGTAGGGCAAGACATCTGTATATTTTTCTGGTGATTTTATTTAAAAAGCTAATATATTTGATCTTTTTTAATTTTTAAAAAAAAAAAAAAAAAAAAAAACCTTAAGTTTTAGAATGAAATAAAATTTCTACCTAATTCTGTTAGTATAAAGGTAAGGTTTAGGGATTTCCTGTATTATGTAGTGGCTAATATAGTTCTTTTAAACCAGAATTCACTATTTATGATACATTACCAAATATACAGAATTCATCTATTAAATGAATGCTCTTTTATTCTGCAATACTTTATATTGTATCATAAATTACAACTTTGAGGTCATTTTAAATAATGAGTCCAGCAATTCTGAAAGACTCTAAGCTCTCACTGACAGCAAACCACTGGGGCAGCAGCAGATTTAGTGAAAGCTTGTTGAACTGAATCATTGAGCCCAATCTCCCGTGTTTCTTAAAACTTGTTTAAGGTAATATTTGTCTGTTTTTTCCTTTAGTCCTTTCATATTTTCCATATGGAATCATTAATGAAAAATTGTGAATTAAAAACAACTTCACTGTAGGAAATTTTCTATGAAAAGGCACGGTAGGGAAGGGGTGTTAGGGGTGTTGTTGGGAGGCAATGATTAAAAGGAAAGCAATATTTTACACATAGATGTTTGCATCTGTAACGTCATTTTTAGACAATTACTCCATGTTACTTCCAAAATAACAAACAACAAAATGACACTGAGACATTATGAAACACAATTGCACCTAATATAGAAGTGATTTTCTTATACATATTTAAAATGTAGTCATAAACTCACAGCAGCTAAGGACGCATGCCCTGGTTTGCAGATGAGTAGTCCATGAACAGTCAGGCATGGATGGAGGAGGGAGGAGGGACTCTGCTGCTCACTGCTGAACTCTTTGCTACTGATTTGAGTCCAGGAACAGAGAAAACAGTGTCTTTTGTTGAGTACCCACCAGGTGCTAATGGACACTTCCAATCCGGTGATTACACAGATGTCCCAGGTTAAACTTAATGGTTCATAAAACCAAACAAAAAGCCGTGATCATGGGAAAGGCATTGGTAGAGATTTGGGGATAGGAAGTCTGATAGAGACAGGAAGGAAGCAAGAGAACGTGGGATGAAGAGAGTAATCAGAAAACATTATGTACTGTATGGAATTGCCCAATGATAGAATTGACCAATAAAATGTATTGAGAATTTTTCAAAAAAACTTTTAATGACATATGGAAGATGTAAATGGTAAAACACTTTTCTGCCAAAAGTGTCTTATTAACTTATACTACTTTTATTTTTGTAGTGCTCCTGGAAGTGGCCCCATGTTCAAGTCAACAACTTTTACTGTGAGAGAAAATTTTAATGAAATTTCCCAAAGAGAGGTTGTGGATTCAGTTAATAACCAGCAAGACGTGATTTCCAGGGAAGAGAATGCTAAAGATGTCACTACTGCAACTGCAGATACAGAAAGTGTGAACAATTACACAGCACACAATCACCAGCTTGGAGACCAAGCACAGGGAATTCACAAAAACAAGACAGGCTTTTCCTTTGCATTTCCAAAGAAAGCGTCTGTGAAGCTGGAGTCCTCAGCTGCAGCCTTCTCAGAATACAACGATGAGGCCTCTGTGGAAAAAGAATTTAGCAGAAAAAGTAGATTTGTCCCCAGCACTTGTCATCATCTACTATCTTCACCAACAGATGTGCTTTTAAGTTCTGAGGAGAAAGCTAGCTGTTTCCATTTTCCAGAGGCAATGTGTACTGACAAAGAAGCTATGCAAACTCAGGAGATAAAAGATGTCACAAATGAAAAAACTACACTATCACCATCGTTTTGCCACTTTCAACATCCTTTATCATCAGATGCAGATACTTGCCAAAATTCGGTCCCATTAGCTGATCAAATATCACTGGAAGACGACGTTACTGTTACTGGAGACATACCTATGTGTAGTAACAGTCCTGACTCTCTAGGAAGTAATTCCACAGTTCTTGATCTGCCTAATGACTGCACGCCAGCACACACTAACATAGTGGAAAACTTTAAGAGTAATGATGCGCTCACAATGGAAACCGAAAACAAGGATGATCCTGAGTCACTGGGCCCCTCAACTACCACAGAGGAAAATGTAAACTTTCGAAAAAAGCCAGATTTATGTAAAAGACAGCGGGACCCTTTCGTACCTGTGCTTAATAAACTTGGCTCCACGGTTCTTCAGTGGCCGTCGGAAATGCTGACATATACTACCACAGAACCATCAGTATCCTACAGCTGCAATCCTCTCTGCTTTGACTTCAAGTCCACTAAATTAAACAGTCCAGAAAAAAGTAAGCTGTCCCCAAATGATATTTATTCTCAGCAGAAGGAAGATTTCTGCAAAAGACCAGCTGCTGACTGTGGGGACAGGCCTCCTGCAGGACTCATGAGTTGTGAAATGAGTGGTAGTAAACACAATCATGTTCAAGTTATTTCTCCTTTGGCTGTTGACATTCCATCCAACAATTCTGATTTGGGAAAAAATGAGACTATGAGTCAGAGGCATAAAAATATTTCCTATAGGACCAGAAAAACAAAAAAATACAATTTTACTAAAAATCAAGTGAAACAGAACACTCTAGACAAGAAATACAGCAAAATCAGGTTGAAAGACAATCACAAATACTGGTTTCATAATAGTAGAAGAAAGAAAAAAAGAAGGAAGCTATGTCAGCAGCATCATGAGGAGAAAACCAAAGAAACAGAAACTGACTGTAAAATGGAAATGGACTTTAGTTACACTGATACACTAGGGAACAGTCCACTGGAACCAGTTTCAGAAAGGCAGCATGTGACGGCAGAGACATTATCAGACTCACATCACTCACCTGATAAAAGGCCCAAATCAGCATCTATTGATTTAAGAGAAACTGAAGAAATATGTAAATCCTGGAACACAGAATCCAATAATGACACTCTCAGTTTTAAAAACCACTTCAGAAAGAACACAATACTCATAAATAAACAATCAAAAACCATGATACAGACTGGAAGGCAAAATTTAATGTATTCCAGAAGTTACTATTGCTTGAAAGTCAGAGCATCAAGCTATCAAGGAGATAGCAGACACTTAGTTCTTCAAGGTGATATGCAAGGCACCAGTCAGAACCTTCCTGTTAAAAGAGGCTACAATTCCCTCATGAATGAATCGGAAAGATTTCATCGGAAACGCAGGCAACATTCTTGTTCTTATTCATCAGATGAAAGTTTAAATCGACAGAATCATTTACCAGTATTGAGGCCACCAATTGCTACATCCACTCCTTGTAAGCCTAAAAAGAAACGAAGGCGGAAACGAGGTAAATTCCACATTGGAGGTGGAACTTTGGAAATCAAAGAAAATCCAGACTGTGCCATGAAGAACAACAGTTCTTTGAATCACCTCGATAGGCTAATAAATAAGGACAAAAAAGAGGAAATAAAACCACAAGAAAATACAAATATCGAAAAGAAGTTGGAACAAACAGACCAAGCTGAAAACAAACTGGACTTCCACCTCAGCAGTCCACATTCTCCTGAAGCCAGTAGCAAAGGTGAACATTCGGTAATGGAGATCACACCAAATGACTCCTCAGAGCCTTCTAATGTTCCCACTACATCTGTGCATTTAGCAAGGACCCCAGCAAATGACTCAATTGATAGTACCTTGCTTGAACACAATCAAAGAAGCCAAGCCACAAACATTAATGAAAAGCAAATTCCTTTCAAGGTGACCAATATGGAAAGGAACTTTAAACACTCCCAGCCTAAATCATACGTTTGCCATTACGAACTGGCTGAGGCCATTCCACAAGGAAAGATGAATGAAGCATCCACAGACTGGCTATGTTACAATTCAGGAATACTAAACACACAATCACCATTGCCATTCAAGGAAACACATGTCAGTGGTCATACCTTTGTAACAACAGAACAAATCCTGGCTCCATTAGCTTTACCAGAACAAGCATTATTGATTCCACTAGAAAACCATGACAAATTTAAAAATCTACCATGTGAGGTCTACCAACACATTATACAGCCAAACATGCTGGCCAACAAGGTCAAATTTACCTTTCCTCCAGCTCCCCTTCCTCCCCCTAGCACACCTCTACAGCCTTTGCCTTTGCAGCAGCCCTTATGTTCTACCTCTGTAACCACCATCCATCACACTGTTTTGCAGCAGCATGCTGCGGCTGCTGCTGCTGCAGCTGCAGCTGCAGCTGCAGGAACCTTCAAAGTGCTTCAACCACACCAACAGTTCCTTTCCCAAGTCCCTGCTCTCTCCAGAACATCTATACCTCACATCTCTGTAGGACCTGTAGGACCCAGGCTCTGTCCTGGAAGTCAGCCAGCTTTGGTTGCTCCTCCTCAGATGCCAATCATTCCCGCATCAGTTCTTCATCCCAGTCACTTGGCTTTCTCACCTTTACCCCATGCACTCTTTCCCTCACTGCTTTCCCCACACCCAGCTGTCATTCCCCTCCAGCCCCTCTTTTAGTCACCACCATAAAAGGGAAAAGAACATGCTCCTGAGGAAACGATTTCTGTATGAGTAGGTGTTCATCTAAGTGGATAATTGGCTACTTAACTCATAGAAATAAACTGGCCCAAACTGGCCTCCTTGATTTCAAACCATTTACTGTAAGTGTAATGATGCTAATAAATTATCAAGTTTCTGATATATAATATTATTAAAGCACTGAATAGTTTGAGAATCAATACAATATATGCTGTACTTTAAAATGATGTCTTAAGAGTATGTATAATGTATATTAAATATATTTATAGTACTATAATTTATGTTGTAAAGAATGCTCTTTGCTTTCTTTTTTTCTAATCTTTGTGTATTTGCACCTATTTAATGTTTAGACAAAGCTGATGGCACTATGTTTTGTACTATGTTCCTTGAAACTGTAAATTCAGTGAAAAATATCTCTTGCAATAAATTTTTGTTAATTATTTAAGTAAATTAAACTTTGGATTTTAGGTGGTTTTCACTCCTTTAGGAGTCTTAGTAACAGTATATATTCTATTTGTGCTTTTTCTTCTGTGCAGTGCTTTCACAGAATACCTCAGACCAATATCTTTTGAGTTTTCACTAACAATACTTAAATGTTACCATCTATCGTAACAAATACAAAAGAAAATTTACTTGTATTTCCATTAGTTCTAATAGTACTTACATTGAGAATTTACTGTGTTTCTTGGCCATGTAATTAGTCAATAACCCATGGAAATATATATTGAAGTAATGTTAGGATTTGAAAGAGTAATAACTCAAAATCATGCCAGTTATGTTATACCCACAAAGGAATTCTAAAACAGAAAGAGGTGTGTTGATATAATTTTGAAATATTAAAATACTTAAATTCATTATGCAAATTTCAAAGTATCATAGAAAATATGTATGAGAATATAGGCATGAATTAAGAAATAAGAATAAATTTAAAAGTCACTTTGTATTAAATGACAACTTAGGATCAATTGCAGAGTACAGAATGTGCCTTGATAAATTCTTAACTGGGAATCTAGAGATAGGAAAAGTACAATTAAATACTCCACCCTACAAATATCTCCAGTTTTCACATTTCTACTATATTTCTAGAGAACTAGGAAGTTTCCTAATTGCCTTTCCAAATTCTACTTAGTTTTAATTACCTCAGCACTATTATTTATTCAAGCGTGTCTGTGTGTAATAAAGAATGAAATTATTTACATAGTTCATCACATGGAAAACCTGGGAGGAACACACTTTTTCCAAGCAAGTTCTCTAATAGGCCCAGGCTCCAGTGAATGTCATCTGGTAAGAAGTCTTCATAGGAGCTAAAGTGGGTTCATCTCATGAATTGCAAATGTTAGAGGATTTTGTTTACATCAGGGAGTTGGAGTTTGACAGACTTCAACTTTTATGTGATCCTCTCCTGAGTAAGTGTTATTTCATATGGCTACCAAAGGATCTGGATGACCCTAAAAATAGAGCATAAGGTATCTGCCCTATAAAAATCAGTATTGCATTTTAGTAAGAAGTAAGGAAGAAAATCTAGGTCATTTAATTTTCTTATTATTTACCATACTCATCAATGTTCCTCTGAAAAATTCCTATGAAAGGCTAAATGTACAAGTTTGTGATATATAAGAAGATAAAATAGTATGGAAGAAATTCTATTTCAAATACTGTAAGAAAATGTTTCAAAAATAGAAACACAAATTAGAACAGATGATTTTTTTCCCCAAGTAAAATATTTGAAACTATATTTGAAGCAGAGTAGATGAAGCCATCCACTGGGAAATGATGACCCAGATTGTCTTTTATCCATCACAGAAGGATTGTTGCTTCTGCTGCTAAAAATCTGAGCTCAGTGTTTTGAGTTTGCGATTCACAGCTTTTTCCCATCCTTTAACCATCACTCAGCTGTAATCTGAATTGTTCATTTCTTGCCTCTGTTTCAATGCTGCAATTCCTTATTACCAGATCGTTTACCTTAATTTCACTGTAAACACAATTTTGTGTCTTCTTTCTTCATATTATTATTTCTGTTTTTATTTTCAAATGATATGGCCTTTTACTTTTAAAATTGTTAAGTCAATTAATTAGTTATGCTTAACTTTTAAGGTATAAAAGACTATAAAGCTAATTTCTAGGCATACTACAGGAATTTTTGCAATGTTTAAGGAAGAAAGCTCTTATATAAGAGGAAATGAAATTGAACTTGACATATACATTTTTTTGTTGTCATGGATACAAGTGGCTGAAAAAGAGACTTGAACCTTAGTTTAATATTATCAAAGCACTCAATTACAAATTCATCTGTATATATAATACTGTCCTAAGATATTGTCTACACTGCATACATATCCATTATGTTTTAGAGATATGAATTGATAAAGACACACTTGTTTAGTCATCTCTCCTGATTACACCAATTCTTCAATGAAGTGACTCAGGATAACTGCCTGAGGAGCAACAAGCAGCACAATAATCAGTCAAGAAAGAGTCATCAAGAAATGAGGCCTTCAGATTACCACAGCTTAAACTTGTGGTAACAGAGATGGTGGCAACTCAATGAGACAGGCAGCCCCACTCTGAGAGCAGTTTGGGATATTTCCTAATGGTTTTGCTAAACATTACACCCTGAAGTTGAACTCCTAATCCTTTCTCATCATAAATTATTTTGCACCCTATATACTGTGGAAAATTAAATTATTCTAACATCACTTATCTGCCAGTCTGCTCTTTGAAGACATTACTATGCCAATTGTGACAATTAAGACAAATCACTTGGAATACAAAATGAAACATGGCTGTGAAACATAAGAAATTTTACAGGGCCTAGGGAGATGGCGTAGGGGATAAAAATTCTTACAGCACAAGCATCAGGGCCCGAGTTTGCATTCTCATGTTTCAACTGAGAAGCTTAGCAAATCTGTATGCATTTCTGTCATCCCAATGCCATTGTGGGGTGGACAGGAAAAGCACCGGGACTTGCTGACCAGTCAATCTAGCCAAAACAGTGCGTCCCACATTCGTTCATAGACCCTGTCTCAAGGGAATGAAGCAGCGAGTGGTAGAGCAGGAAACAAGACATCCTCTAGAATCTGCACACCTGTGTACTGGAGCACTCACACCCATACATACATGCCTAAAGACCACACACATTCACCTTATATATGTACCATGCACACATATGATAAAAATTAAAATAAAAATGGTTTCATGTTGAATACTAAGAAGCAAATAACCATAATTCTGTGGATTATGCATGCCAAATAAATATTTTCTCCAAACTCCTTTATCAGTGAATACTTTGAATCACCCACAGGACATTTAAACTTGGCTCACTAGCAAAAATTTTGTGCTCAAAACTCAAACCAATCATCTTAACTAATAAGTATTACTGAAATGTGTTTGTTGCCCTGTATTTCCAAGCTCTATGAATGTAATACACTAATACCTATTGCTAGAAACCATGGCATTTATCCCACATCAATGTAATCAAATTAACTGTTTGGGCCCCTTTTCTAAGTTCTGAGATGTTTTCCATTTTATCCAATTGTCTTCTCATTCTAGACCTAATCCTGGTAAGCAATAAGCCAATACTGTTCTTAAATCAAGTCTCCAGTTTCCCACTCTATTAGGTCATCCTCAGTACAGCTGTCAGTACTACACTCCAAAAATACAATCTCAATATTTCAGGCCTTACTTTAAAATATACTTTGGATTCTCTTAGTTTCAGTATGAACACTACATTCCTTAACAGGCCATGGGAATAATATCTCTAGCCAATTATGTGCTTGCTTCCATCTACAACAGCATTTCTCCTGGTCAACTGTCTTAAATAACACGGCTACAATATTTTGAGTTTATATAAACAGGTTCAGTCAGGCTGCAATACACTTATCTTCACTTGGTTAATAGGTAATGAGTCAAAACTCAGCTAGAATGTCAGTTTCTTTGAGGCTCTATCCCTGTATTTTCTCTTCCTCACGTAAGCTAACTTCCTATAATCTATATTCATGTGGATGCTGTGCATCAATGTTTATAATTCTCTATTCAGGATATTTTTCCTTGTTTGTCTAACTCACTAGATGAAGAGCTCTCTGAGTCAATGCAGTATACAACATAATAGTAAATAGACATAAAATATTGAATTAGGGAATATAGTATTAAAATTCATTTTAATTGTATTAAATTAAATTGTATTAAATTTAATGTTATTAAATTGTAATTAATATAGTATTTGCTTAGACTAGTAT